TAGCCCCTATAGTACTCTACCCTCTGTAGCCCCTATATAACCTCCAATGCTAGGAACGTTTGAGCTTGCTCAGCTTGCTCTCGGCAACTATGTCCTCTCCTGCAGGCCGCACCCCGGGAGGATCTAGAAAGTGGTAGTTTCCTATAATAGGGGGACCCCAATATAGACCCCAAAATACTATAATCCTTATTATGGGGACCCCCAAAAAGGGTACCCCTAATTTTGGGAAACCCCCAGTAGATCCCCACTTGAGGTTCCTACATATCACCCAGTAGAAGTATGAGGGACGATGTTGGGGGTTCTACTTTTTAGATTCTCCCAAAGGTCTGGTGAGCTGGCGTAAAGTTCATGGCTTAAGGCCACGAGATGTAGCAAGAAAAGACATGAATCCACCAGCCACACTTCTCCAGAAAGAGCGTGGAACCCCAAAGCGACCCACAAGGACTCCTGCCATTTGAAATCAAAACCTTCACAGGCTCTTGTTTGTTTCGCTTTATGCGTTACTCGTTTCTGCCGTCGCCCTGCGCTTCCAGGGGGATTCTAGGGCTTACGATGGTAGGAAAGATATAATGTTTTGGTATGGGCGGTACAACGGTTTCAAGGGATTCTAGGAGGCCACGCGCCAAAGCGATCCCTCCAAGGGAACTCCGCACGAATGAGCCCTGTCACTTCCTACCACTCCCCATCATGCCTGCACAGTCCATCTGAAGGGGGTTTCTTTGAGGACGTTGGGACCTTAGTTTGGCGTTTGGGGTCCGTTTTTGATACGGTCGTCCAAATCCCATCAAGTCCCGCAAATGTAGTCATCCTGCATGACCCGCAAGACCCCAAACCCACAGTCCTTGAGCCGACTGAAAGCCCAAGGACCTGACCTCAGCGGTGTAGAGTTTGGGGTTTGGGCTTTTGTTAGGTTCAGAGCTTCGGGCTTTGGGCTTAGAAGTTCGGGTTCATGACCTTTCTGCTCACGGATTCTCGGGAAAAAAACGGTTCATGATTCATAAACCATGTGTCAACCTAAAGAATGTAATCTAGAGACATCACTACGCCTCATACACCTCACAGAAACCCTCTGCCCGACTTCCGAACATGCCAGCCCTTGCCGAGAAATACAGGCAGGCAACCTTATCCATAATGGTGGCACAAGAAGCATTACAAGATATAACCTGGGCAGAACTTGGGCGTAGTGTGCCTAGCTCAAGACTGTCGGGATCCCTGGCAAAGCAGAGAAAATGGGCCGCAAGTAAGCTGAACCCTCAGCATGACTTGGCGGGCCAGGAGTGCAGCTAGAAAAACAATGCACGGGCGCAAATTGACTAATCGGACGTGCAAGGTAGCGGTTTAGGGTTCAGGGTTTAAGCTTCCCCTTCACCCTCCCAGTAATCCTGCACCATTTTCAGATCTGCTGCCTCGACCTGCAGGTCTTGCAGGGCACTTCTGGCGGGAGTCCAAGGGAGGCAAACAAGCCTGTTACGCTGATGCTGAAGGCCTACGTCCAGCCTAACCCAATATCTGCAAACCTGAGCTCTATAGCCCCTAAACCCTAAACCTAGAACCCTAAACCATGAGCCACTGAAAACCTCTTGCTTAAACTCTAAACCCGTTTCACTGCCGGGCAAGTATGAACCTTGGACCTCCTCAGCTGTAGGGCGCCCTGAGAGTCTTAGCGCTTCAGGCCACTGCTCAGAGGGACAACACGGCGAGGCCACCCATTGCCACCTCTGACACTAAGCTTTCGAGGGTTGAGGGCTTAGGCTTTAGGGTTTTTGGGGTTTAGGGCTTAGGGTTTAGGGTCTGGGGCTTAGGGTTTAGGATTTTTAGGGTGTAGGGCTTAGGGTTTAGGGCAACGGTAAGAAGCATGAATTTGTGCACATGTCGCAGTAGGAATGTGAAAGGAAAAAGATACGGGTCTGTGCGGCCTCGCATGCTGCTTGAAGTGCTTGAGTATTTCTATAGGGTTGATGCTCTTCGGTGTCCCCATAACAAGGATGAACTGCTCCGGGGGTGTGGAAAGCAAACCCGGATTTTCGAGACAGCGCCACAAGCTGGTAATCTCAACTCTCCCTGGCAAAGGAGGGTTGAGTAATTGGAGACCCATGGAACTTATAAGTGGGCTTATAACCCTGCTTTAATGGGTTACCCCAATTATAGGTAGGATTATAATCCCAGCTATAAGTAGTTACTAAGTCCCATGGGCCTCCAAGTAGCTACCAGACGAAAGTCTTAGACCCTAAACCCTAAACCGCAGGGCCCAGCCACAGCGAAGGAGATGAAGCCCTTCGCAGAGGAACTCTTGTCCTGCAAGTTGCTGGGGGCCTGGGGCTTCGGGATTAGGTTTAGGGTTTAGGGGTTAGGGCTTTAGGATTAGGATCTACTTGGAAGGTCATAGGGACTTAAAAAGTATACGTATAACCCCTATAAGCCATATAGTATCCCAATGATTGACCTACTTAATAGAAGCCCCCTGACCCACCAAGGAAAGGATTATGCCGGAGAGGCGGAAGTCTACGTACAAGGCTTCCAGGATTGAGGTCTAGGAGTGTACAAGTCAAGGACACTGCCGGCCGGCACTATGTGAGCTTGATAGCTTCATATGGGAGCACCACCTCGTAAGCACACACCTGACAATGTTTGCTTGCACAAGAAGTGTTACAGGGCAGTGGCGTTTGTAGCCAAAACCCTGAAACCCTAAAGCAGAAGGGTTGAATAAATAGCAGTTTCCATTTTCTTTTCCATTATCCCAATATAACCCCTATATAAACCCCTGATTTAGTCCCATTATAGTAGGACCCTAAACGGTGAAGGTGGTCCTCGCTCTTCTTGCCTTCCTTCTTCTTGTCTGCTTGGGCGCTGGTAGTGGTTACGTCCTTGATGACAACCTCCTTCCAAAAACAGCTGGTCCAAGCCACTCCAAAAAGGCGTATAGTCCCCCTTTAAGTCGAGAGAAGAAGGAATTGCCCAATATCATAATAAGATCCCCATATACCCACTTCAGGGGGGCTTCACCCTAAACCCTTATCCCCGTATATTCTATCTATTTAAGGGGAACTATACACTAAACTCTAATCCCTAAACCCCATATTCTATCTACTTAAGGGGAAACTTTACTGGAGCGGTTTTTACGGGTCCAGATGGGCTTCCATGCTGGAAACTGGGACACGTTAGAGTTCAGGGTTTAGGGTTTACAGAGTTTAGGAGAAAGGGTTTAGGTGGACCTGAACTATGCATTCATATAGGCTTTAGGATATGGGTTGCGGCCATGGGCAACTCAGATTTAAGGCTGGTTCCCAGGTTGCTCTCGCATTTACGTGCAAAGTTTCGCTTGGACAACAGTAGGGAGAGTGCACAGCTAAGGAAGGGAGCGGTAGCTTGAGGAGAGGAAGGCGAACACAAAGTAATCGTACAAGGGTAGACCTGCCCCGATAGGAAATATTCTCATCTTAAATAAAAGGTGGTACCACGTCTTGAATATGCGACAAGCGTTCCATTCGGAGGTGGGGGGTTCTCTTTTTGGGGAAGTGGTTATCCCGCACTTGAATGGAAGGCTCTATCAACAATTGCTTGGGGCAGTTGTTGCCCCCTTGTCCTGAGAATGGAATCTCCCCACCCCCAACAACGCAATATCGAATTAATGCTCTATGGCTTCGAGGAAAGGATTATGTTTGGGGCCGTTCCCCTAAACTCCAACCCTCCTTGGTGTGGATGTCCACAGAAACCTTTGGCTTCACGGTGGTCTCGGAATCTTTGGTCTCTTCTGACACAATCTTGGTCTTGACCTATCTGCTTGGGGGTTAGGGTTTAGAGTTCAGAGGTTTGGGCTTAGGGTTCCCAGAATGAGCTTATTATCAAGGATGTTGATTTCATGCACCCCTGAAATGGGAAAATCCTGCAGGAAGGACCCCAATAAATATTTGCATCAACCATAATGACCCCAGTTGACCTATGGTCTGAACTCCTAGTATCCCCCCTTCATAACCCCTGCAATGCTCCCTTACATAACCCCTATATAACCCCCTCTAACAAATTTAGACTACACCTCAGTTTGGTTCCAGTATGAACCTACTTGATACATTCCCTGACCCCCGAGTTGGGGGCTAGTTTGACTGACTCCTGCCTGGTCATAAGGGTCGTGGATCACCTGAAGTACAGGGGTTGTTTGTTTAGGGTCTAAGGTTTAGGGTTTAGGGTTTAGGGAAGGGTCTGTCACAAGGAAAAAAGCAGGGGCCAGTAGGATGAACAGGTCAAAGGAAGTAGAAAGGACGATTGCAGGCAGGGCAGTGGCGGCTGGAATACAGGCTTTTAGGTGTATGGGGTTCAGGCACTTCATTATGGGTTCAGGGTTTATAGGGTTCAGGGCTTGTAGGGTTCAGGATTAAGAGGGTTCGGGGTTTAAACTTCTTCTGGTTGAGACTTTAGGGTGCCTTGGTGTCTGGAACGTATAAGGGATCCTCATCATTGGGATCCTGGCGGAGGTTCAGGGGTTTGGGAGTTTTCGGGTTTAGGGTTTAGCACCTAGTGTAGAGGCCTAAAACGTGGAAAAATACGCTTGAGGCGCAACACTCAATTCACCTGGGACCATGCTAATTTAGGCCCCCTACATTGCAGGACCCCTATCAATGCATGTAACCCCAGTTCCCATTTCCTTCTCCATGCTCGTTCCCTTGATTCCCCACTATTGGAGACATTTCCCTACATATCCCGTACATGGTCCCTGTAAAACGCTATGGGATCCTTCATGTCCCCATAAATGTTCCCAAGCCTCCTTATCATCTGCCACCACCTCGATGTCGACTTTTTCGTCCTTCTCAGCCTTCTTGGCATCCTGGGCTTCCTCCTTTTCCATCTCCTAAGGGGTTTAGGGTTTGGGTTTGAGGTTTGGGTTTAGTTTGGGGCACAGAACATCTTCAAACGACGCAACGGTGGTTGTATAAGGATTCAACGTAACAACGAATAAAAACGGAGTTTAAACCTACCCCTGTCTCCTTCTGGACCTCCTTTTCCAACTGCTTGTCTTCCTCCTTATTGTCCTTCTTCTCCTCCTTTGCGTCCTCTTTCTTGCTTGGTGTCTTTTCTTCCTCCTTGACTTCCTTCTTCTCTACCTTCTTCTCCTCTTTTGCCTCCTCCTTCTTGTCCTCTTTCTTCGCTGGTGTCTTTCCCTCTTCCTTGTCTTCCGTCTTCTTCTCCTCCTTGGGCTTCACCTCCTTGCTCTCAGCCTTCGCATGCTTGGCCTCCTTGTCATGTTCAGGCTCCGAGAGAATCTCCAGCTGTGTGTTGTCCAGGCTCGATGCAGAGAGCTCTGCCAGCTGAACCTAGGTTTTGAGGCTTTGAGAGTCTTCCAGTTTTAGTTCTGGATGCAGCTTGCAGATTCCTATCGCAGCGGAAAAATTTGGACTTGAACAACTGAGCGTTTAAGATAGTAGAGAACGGGATTGGATCCCTGTAGTCTATGCCTTTATGCGATCCTCAATAGAAATCCCCTGAAGCAATTCCCGCATTCCTTCCTTTGTTAAGTGCCAGGTAGATATGGGGTTTCCTCAACATCCGGGTGCCCCTGGGGACCATGGGGAAGGTAAAAAGGCTCGGGGTCGCCCTTACAGATTCTATAGGACCTATTCTCCCTAAACCCTTTTTGAGGAACGGGCTGGAGACGCTGCCGGCACCCTTTACCCTAAACCGCTCCCGTCTGGTTGAGGACACAGGCACTGACGACTGCGGCTTCTGCATTAGTCGCGCCTGCACTGCTGCAAGGAGCAGCACAACAGCCAAAGTTCGCGAGCAAGCACCTGACAGCGCTTTTGGGGCTTCCCTCCCTTTCAAGTTTCCTGGGTTGCTGTTAAGGAACTTACAGCAAATTACTACAATGAGCAAACCCTCTCATTTCCTGCATACCCATGTTATGGTAACTTGCATGAAGTTCCTGAACAACGACCCAGCTTGGGGGGTTTCCCTCCCTTTCGAGCTCATGGGGCTGAGCATCTGGGCTTGGCTGTAGGCCATGAAGCCAACAGGACCCGACAAGCTGAGCCCCAAACCTTAATAATGGTAATAATAGTAATAATAATAATAGTGATAATAGTAATAATAGTAGTAATAGTAATAGCAGTAATAATAGTACTAATAGTACTAATACCTACACCCGAATTCCTGAACCCTCAACCTTGGGTACTGCCCCCACCCAGTAACAGTCTACAACAGGGGCAACAGGGGTAGCAAGGGCTATAAATATGTATATGGCAATTATCATCAAACTGTTACTGTGGGGGGGGGCAGTACCCAACCTCAACCCTGAACCCTAAAACCTAAACCCTACACCCCAAACTTTGAACTTTGAACCCTAGACTGCCCTGAATGCACCTGTCATGACGTCAATGTCTTGGACGGCTTCGTTGGTACGGCGGAGCGGGTCGGGCTTGAACCGCCAAAGAGCTGCAGCATCTGGAAATTCGGGCTTCCCAAAAGGGATACAGGGGTATACAGAGGTTTTATAGGGCCTGGGGCTTCCCAAAATTTAGGGGTCTCAATAATAAGGGCTATAGTAACTGAGGTGTCTATATTGGGGTCCCCCTACTTTGGGAAACTACCATATGGAGTTTCCTTGCAGAGGCTAAGCAATGTAGACATATTGCGCAGCTCTAGTATAATCTGCTCCACTAGCTCTAAGGAAGTATAGGATATTGCCTGTTGTAACCGGTAACTGTAGCTTAAGTGGGGTTCAGGTCAGCGGGCTCATTTCAGCTCACCTGGCAGGAGAAGCGTTCCAGTTTGGCTACTGTAGACCCATGATTAATCATGCCCCTCCTTTTAAAGGCCTGAATATTAGGATCCATCTTATATTCCCTATGAAGAGGAGGGGTTTGTTAATAAGGGGTCTACACTACCCCAGTGCCCATCAAAATGCTACACTGATAGGTTGTTAGCAGGGAATGGAGGATGGGATACCCTCAGTAGCCCTTACATCATCCCTGATGGCGTGGTAGTTTCCGTTTCCTTTACATTCCTTCAACCCCTACCAACCAGCAAGACTCCAGGGGTCAGGGAACCTGGGCACCATGGTTCTGTAAAGCTAGGCGAACCAAACAGTCCAGAAGCAAGCTCGTCCCTCACTTTCGCATGCGGCTTTCTCAGCACAGGAGTTCTTACACAAACCCGTCAAATACATGCATATATGTGTATGTGTATGTATATATATGTATATCTATCTATCTATCTTATGTATAGACATAAGGGATTTAGAGAGGTATTGTGGAAACAACCACATACTGAACAGAAGCTCACGTCCAGGCCCGGGCCACGGAGACTTAACGTTAAAAAGGGCCCTCCCTGTCCTCTTACCTAGGTAGCGCTTTACGAACCCCTAAACCCTAAACCCTGCGCTACACATGATGCTGTTTGTAGGGGGGCTGTAGAGTATCACCTGATTACAGGCCACAGTTTCTTGCATGCTCAGCTTCCTCCTGAACAATAATCATAGCAATACTAATAACAGTAATCATGGTAATACTAATCATAGTAATCATAGTAATACTGATAGTAGTAGCAATATGAATAATAGAGACTTGGCATCGGACAGAGTTTGCCTTGTCGTGCATCGAGGGCGAGGGCAGGTGCATCGAAGGTGATTGCAAAAGCTCGCCCCCTTGCAAAGCGTCGGGGGTGGGTTCAAGATCTCAGGCATTCGTGTGATAGGCTCAGATGTGAAAGTTATGGATAGGTTGTTTGCACGTCATAGATTCAGGGGTGAGATGGGCCATGGACTTCATGTGGTTATAATTATAATGACAATGGCAACGATACCAATACTAGGAATAATAGCAATAATAGTAACAATCACAATAATAAGAATAATAGTAATTCAGAGAAACAATAATAGTAATCATAATAAGGGCAATAAGAATAATAGTAAAAATCATAATGAAAATAGTACTAATACTGAAAATAATGATTGAGATAAGAGCTCGGGTTTCTCAAGCGTGCAATGAAGTCTGGTTGCCAATCCTCCATGAGATGTTCTATAAAGAAATACTTAGACTTCGAGCTCTTGAAAGGGTCTAAGGGTTTTACGGTTTAGGGTGTCTCGCGGATAGCGCTCACAAGTTTTATTAGAGAATGGAAAAGATGGAAGATGCCCTGACAGAGAAAAGGGGCTCGAAGGAATAGAAGGGGTATACGTTGATCATGAAGAGGGCTGCAACATCGACTATATCACCAGCATTCAATGTAGGTAGCCCCACTACAACGAGAAGGGCAGCAGAATCGCAGTTTCAAACCTTGAGGCGAGTGCAGGCAAGCCCTATGCAGCTTCAACTTGCCAGAAAACCACACCTCCTCTGGACAGTCTCCATGAGCACAGCACTTAATGCCGTATTGCACCCAGTACCCAAAAAGGGAGTGCGACTGCCAACCCCTAAGTCCCAAATCCTTTGGAGCGCGGGCTAAATCCTAAACCCTGAGCCCTAAACCCTATACCTTAGGAGGACCCCCCCCTTGGAATAGTGGTATAGTAGGAATATAAGAGGACCCTAATATAATCCCTATATTCCTTATAGTCACTATTACCGGGTGGGGGGTCCACCTAACCTATACCTTAAACCCTGACTCCGAAATCCAAAGCCCTCAATCAACATCAAGCTTTTGGGATGCCACACATGGACAAGCCCATAGCATGTCCTTACCCGCTGGGGGATTCCATACACAGGGACACCAATCTGAGGTTGAAGGATTTAGGGTTTAGGGCAATCTGAGGTTGAAAGTTGAAACCATGCGCCCCTAGTACGGGCCGTTTACCCTGGGATCTTTATATACCTACCATGTACCCTATATTTACCCTCAAGGGTCCCTAGATTCACCCTAAAATGCCTCAGGGCCCACACTAGGGGCCCATGTTCATCAATGTGGGAATTTCCGAAAATTGTGGTCATATATGGGGATATTATCCCAATACCCCAATAATGGAAAACTCAAATGAAAAATGAAATGGGAAAATGGAAACTGGGATTATATGAGCCACAGTCAATATGTTCTAAAAAATCCTACATAACTTCATGGACACGGGCTCCATGTTCGGACCTTTTTAGGGACGATACTGAACTACGGGAAGGACCCCTATGTCCACCATTAAGGTTCCCTCAATAAGGCTAATATTGACAGTAGCACATATGTAGGGGCTAGGATGAACCAAAATCCGGGGTTTTCCTTTCGAGGGGGTTATACTAATTCGGGGTCTGTATTGGTGAAGACAAGGAAGCAGATTCTCAAAGCTTTGTACAACACTAGAACAAAAGATGCGATCTCACCTGTCACATGTTCCTCAACTCCTCTGAACCTTTAACTCTCACTACAAGCAGCTTCCAAACAGAAACAAGTTGGCACAACTTCTGAACCCAAGCGTGAACACCTCAAACCCCAGCGAGCTCCACTTGCTACTGCTTTCGCTCTAACTCTCTAGTTTACAGGCTTGAACAAGTGACAGACGGGATGTCTGTAGAAATTTAGCCGCTATATGCACACCCCAGGGAATCCCGACAAGCGATTGCCTCACCTCCTCCCTTAAACGCTAGCTTCTCAAAATTGGGGTCGCATAAGCCGCCACCAATCTCCCACCAACGCCCAACGCCATTACCTCCCTGGACCCTAACCTGGAAGTCAGACCAACACGTTGTCATGGGACCCCATACCGCCCCCATCCTAATGTGGGCGAACGAACTAAGGGGAGGTTGCCATGAGATCTTGCAACCCTAACTTCAGGTCCCGAGATCATCCTTGGGATATCTACAAGAACTTTTGAAACCCCAACAAGGCTCCGATAGAGAGAGCTGTCCTCTTGAGGTCTGCCTCTATGGCTTCCAAGTTAATTTGAAGGAGGGTCAACCCCAAACCCAACTGAATCCTGGCATTTTTCCAAATCACTCCGCAGCGACCCCTGCTAGCCATGACCCGGAAGCTGTGCTGGTCACACACAATCTCGCACCTGAACTCTAAAAATTCAAGCCCTGGAACTCCTTTGGTAACTCTAAAGCCTCACCCTTCGCCATCGACACGTTTAAACAATAAAAAATCCGAAATCCCGGAGTTCACATTGCTGGTGGTTCTGTTCACGAGGAAATGGAGGAATGGATCCCTGTTGCCATCTCCGTAATCCCTAGGCTCCATTCCCTCAATCACATCAACCCCAAAACCCTAAACCCCAAAACCCTAAACCCTAAAATGAGTCAACAAGCGCCTCGTATTGTGGCTGTGGGCGAGGGCGGGCTGGGAAGGCCCTGGCTAGCTGAGTAGACGTCCACCACGGGTGCGGAAGCAACCTGAGAGT